TTCTTCCCCATACAGCAAGGGTGCTAACTACCATCTAAAAAGGGATGTCAAATATTGGTTAGGAATATAAATGATGAGCTTGGAAGTCCCTAGTGCAAATGTCAGCTCAGCTGCTGTCTCTTAGACTTAGCCTCAGACGGTCTACAGTAAGGGAATAATTATGGTGACCATACAGAGTTGTTGCGATAATTATATGTGAACTGCTTTGAGCACTTAGGAAAATCTCTCTAGCTCTCCATAAATATATAAATAATACACATATTTGGGAGGCAGAGAAAACACTTATCTTCATATCTTCATGTTTCCTGTGCTCTTCCAATTATGCTTTATGTAATTTTCTTTCTGTTTATTGTTTGGCGCCTGATTCTTCACAGAACATCCTCTAAGGATCAAATGAGAGTCTTCAAGAATCCCTGCCAATCTACATCACAAAGGTCATCACTTTTGAATGCGCCTCCTGAACAGTCCCTTTTTGGGGTAATTTTTTTGGCGTGTGTTATCGTTTCATGTATTTAAAACAGAAACGAATGGTACCTATTGAGTCCTGAGGGGTTTGGCACACCAGCAACACCCAACCTCAAAGCAAAACTTTAACCAGTATGTATGCCAAGACCTGCCCACCTATTTCAGAAGTCTGGTGTGGCTTGACAGGAACAGTGAGAGAAGTTGTGTCATCATTCAGACAAAGCCATACCGCAAGGCAGCTTTGTCAACCTGGCACCCTCCAGATGGTTTAGACTGCAACTCCCTTCAGCCTTCAGGTTGTGAAAGCTTCTGTATGGTCATCACACCATGTGGAAAGTGGTTGGTGATGATAGTGAGAGGCCATCATTGGATGGGAGAGGTCCAACCATGTTGCTGGCACACCTGACAGGAAACAATATGGTTCGCAAGAGCTCTGTAAAACCATTTTCTTCAGCTCCTGTGGCATTATTTTTTTTTTTTTGGAAAGTTGCACAAAGAATAGGAGCAATACTTTTTGGCCTCCCTAGAGGTTGTATTCCCATGTTTTAGGAGACATCGTTAGTAATACAATATCTCATGTAGTCTGATTCATGATTTTGGAGCTGAAGCTAATTTTCCGAAATTGGTGCCTTGGGAGTTAACAAACAAAAAAGGAAAAAGATAGGTTGTTTTCCCAAAAAAGAAATTGTGCACCAAGTGTTTTTGTGAGCTTAGAAATCACTGCTTCCATCACACATAACTAATTTTACTAGAAATAGCTACATATACCAGCATTTTGGGCTGCTTCCTAAGCAACAAGCACAGAGCTCAGATTACTGCATTCTAGTATGGCTTTTTTGTGTACCCAAAGCTTAGAGAATAACTCCTTAAAACATTTAACACGATATTTCTAGGAGAAAACAAAGTTCCAAGAGTCAAGTGGAGGGGAAACTACAAACATAGGTATTATCTGCCTATAGAACTTGAAGACACTGAACGCTTTAAACTTTCAGTGACTACCTTTAATTGAAATGCAAATTACGATTTTTGCTATGACCTATGGTCCAAACAAATAAATTCTCCATTGAAAATGTAGCAATTTAGCTTAAAATATCCCAGTTCTGAGTCATATTCTATAAATGCAGATTCTAGTATATGCAAGCTAATGGAGCTGAATGCAACAAGTATAATCAGAAGAATTCTTACAGATGCATTACAGCAGGAAATACTCCTAATTTTACACACAGGAATTTCCTGAATCCAATATGTCATTTATTCCTGGCAAAGTCTCTCCTTTGTCTACGTATACTTCATGTTTTCCGCAAGCAGAGCAGCAGTAACTTACATAACTAGTGGACATATTTGTGCCAGATTTATCTACTGTGCACAATAAAGGCTAATTAAGCATTTCATCTTCTCATTTGAACTCTGGGCTGGATACACTAAGTTTATCTTACTAAATACATTTGAAATGTCAAGATTCTTAAAAAACAAAACACAGTAAGATGTGCTTATGTCCATGGTATGCCAAACAGACATTTAGACAAAAGACTGATTGGTTTTCTATGTAGGGGAAAGGTGAAACACAGAACATTTACACCCGGACAATTCTTTCCAAGGGAGTTCATAGTGCTCTAAACTGCAGATTCTGTTGCGAATGTTTCTAGGGTCAGATTGATTACGTAAGGCTGCTTATGTTCTGCACGTACCTAGACGATAGTGTTTGGCATTTAGGAAAGCTATATGAAAGAGCATTTCTTCAAGATCCTGCACAGAGAGCTTTATTAGTCCTGCTACCTGAGGTTCTTCCAGGAATTAAAACGTGGGTGTTCGTTCTGTGCCTTATCTTGGTGAAGTGATCTTGTTGATGTAGTTAACATCTGTAGTCCAAAGCTCCATGATGTGCAAAGGGACCTGGGGATGCAGCACTTTCACCCTAGCAGGGCCATCAGATTGAGGATTATGGCAAGGACATGGAGACTCAGGCCTCATTTGATTCTTTGAAAGGGCAATCTGGTATTTAAGTTAATGGCTAAAATCTAAAAGATATATAATAAAATAAGAGGATTATAAAGTTATCTAAAATAAGAGAACACCCAAAACTTAGTTGGATACTATGCTATGTGATCCAAACAGGGTTGCCCAAAATTGGGTCTCCAGCAGTTTTTTGACTACAACTCCCATCATGCCTAGCTAGCAGGGCCAGTGGCCAGGAATGATGGGACCTGTAGTACAAAATAACAGCAGTAGACCCAAGTTTGGGAAACCCTGATCTAAGGATATGAAAGATAGAGGGTAATAGAGAATGACACAAGTTGTTGCAATATGTTTTCTCTTTTTTTTTTATTGTTAGTGGAGATTAATGATACAACCCTGAGATACCTCCTCACAAATAGGCCTCATAATCAATTAGTTTTAAGATGATGGGCCTTCTAAACTTTGTTTTAGAAGAAATAAACATTCAGCCTTCTAAACTGTTACAATATTAATTTGATTGAGTGTTGGTCATTTATTTTGTATTTTATGATTTGATTTGATTTTTTAAGATGTTTCAATTATTATTTTTTATGCCAGTATAATATTTTTGGTCATTCAAAGGTATTACTATAAATAAATTGTATGCAGTCACTGTACAAGGCCTTTAAATATGTCAATTTTACAGTTTCTGGGTAGTTTAAGAATAAATGGTATTACAAATAACCAACAGAGTTTGTTAGGAGGAAGTCATATGAGACCAACACAGTTTCTTTATTTAAATAAAGAAGTGGTTTAGTAGAAAAAGATGCTAATTGTATTTGGATTTCAGCAAGACTTTTAACTTCCTACAAAAGCTTGATATATATGAGTATAAGGTAGATGAACAGTTAGTTGAAAACTGCACTCAGAAAGTAATAATTAACAGGTTTTAACTAGATTGTACTCTACTGAAATAAATGGAGTTTGATCAGCAGCAGTACTGGGTGGGATGAAATTATCTTTTGCACAAAATAATCCCATCCACCATCTTAAACAAACTACAGTTTACCCAGTCTTCCTAATGACAAGACAGATCTTTCACTGCATCTAAAAAAGGCAGAAAATAAGGGTTTTCAAACCTACTTGACTTTGCACATATAAAATTACTTTGTAAACACAAATGTTACTGTTTATCTTAATGGATTCCAAAATAACACACTCAATGTGAAGATTTATAATGGATTAATTATATACTTGAGAGTTGCTTAGAAGATGTCACAAAAACTCCCAAGCCTGATTCTTTCCAAATTCTATCATGATTCTTGGTATGTACGGGCACGATTTTCTATGATTAATCACCATTCAGACTTGAACCTCACATTATCACATATCTAACATGTTACTCATCTGAAGAAATGTATGATTAAAAGTACTGAGACTACACCCATGAAAGTGGTCAACGAGTCCTCTTCCCCAGCTATCACAATTACCAGCAAGAACACAATGAAAATAATGTAGATTTGAACACACAAGACTGTCTGCTTGCTGACAGGCAGCCTTGCACTGTTTTGAACAAAACTAAACTAAAGTTGTCATGTATTAGAGCAGCAATAATGAAAATGAGTCAGTTCTATTTTCTGACTTCTCCCACAATCAACAAACTTCAGAGTGATGAAGAACAAGAATTGCTGACAGAAATGGGACTACCACTGTGGACTAACAAGTAATGGCTCCTTTGGGAAGAAGGACAGAGTATGAATTTATTTTTTAAAATTAAAAAGTAATGTACTTCCAGGCCACATACAGCTGAGTTCTATACCATCTGTCAATCAATTGAGGTTCTGTTTCACTAGATGGCTTGTGTCCAACATAATTGCCAGACCACCACCTATCCCATGACCGACCATGATTTTAAGGTATGCTTTAGACTGATCCTTAGGCACATTGAGACATGAAGGGCAAGTCTGAGCATCTTTTGGAAATGTTTTTTTAAAATCAGGCAGAGATTTTGGTGGCCTGAATTAAGGTTGTAGCTGAGCAAGATTTCAACCTTTAATATTTTTATTTACATGTTCATTTTGAATTTTACATATTACTTTCAACATTTTAAGCATTAGAAGGCTACTTAACCAAGAACAAATTCTGAGCTTTCTAAAACTGCAGAATTTTCCTGCCTAGTATAAAAGATTCTTATTGCCACATAGGCAGTGTTTAGTAGCGCTAAAATAGCACCAGCTTTTACTAGGCACAACTAATACCCAGGACAAAAGAGCTTCTCTCTTTCTATTCTTCCTTTTTTTGTGCTGAAAAAGACCACAGCTTACATGTGGCTCCATGCCCATCCACTCAAATACTTAAGTCACACACCTATGCCTCTGGAGATGGATGTTTGAATGCGTGGGAGGCAGAGCTCAAGAAAAGGTGGGTTAGGCAGGTTGGCAAAACATACACTTGAGCAAACTTCAAATTCATTTCAGACAACTATTCTAGTGCTCAATCAAGCCACATACCCCAAACACGATGCTCAGAACACCCAAAGTGTATAACTGGGATACAGTTGGCCATATGCCTTGCCACCCCACCCCCCGCACCTTCCTCACCTGACCACGTTGGGATGCTCAAATGTTTCCAGATGCTTCAATACAGCCACCTCACGTATGGTGGAAAGTGGCATCCCCTCTTCGCTTGTCTGCACCCGCACTCTCTTCAGTGCTACAAAACGTCCACCATTCTTCAGGTCCCGGGCCTTGAACACCTTCCCATAGGCTCCTTCACCAATCTCAGCTACACATTCATATTGTTGATCAGCTAGGGTCATGCTGTCCTTCTCCATGGTGACACCGCTTTCCTTCTTCCCCAGTTTCTTTCTGTGGTGTTTCAGGTGCTGTGGCTGTTGCCCTTGTTCCCTATGTGCAAATCAGTCCTTAGTTGTTATTGGAACAGGGTGTCCAGATATTTTGACAGATGGACCAGCCTGCAGGATGGTTCTTGCACCCTTCCAGAACTGTAGTAATGCCCACGTGAGCCTTCTTGCTTAGCCAGTGGCAATTATATGGTAGTCTTTGGAATCATTACCTTTGTAAAGCTAATGAGATCTAAGGGACAAAAAAACAACCACCAAAGAGAACATAATTAGTATTAGGAGTATCTCTCCACCGGCTTCCATAATAGAATATTGCCATTAAACACTTTGTCTGCACATTTAGTTGGCATATGTAATACAACTGGCTTGCACACATTTAAGTGAAATGAGCCCTTTCAACAGTGCAATTACAAGAGGCAATGGGATGCAGATCAAGGGGACAGAATATTTGTGCTCTGTGAACTGAATTAAGTTAAATGTTACACTTGGACTTTATTATAAAAATTAAGAAATGTGCATTCTGCAGTTCATTCATAATAATTTAGTCTGGTTCCAGAAATAAACAACCATCATTAAAAACATGGCAGGTAAAGCAGCAGCAGATTAAAAAAAAAGCACAGCAAAATGGCAGAAAACTCACAAATCAAAGGCACATTGAAACAAACAAGTATTCCATACATAGCAAAAAATAATAATAATGAAAAGAGAGATAGCCTGACAGATCTCCATAGGAATTTATTCCACAGTCTTGGTGCACCAATTAAAACACCCTGTCAGGAGTGCCTGCTTGTCTGACCTCAAGTAAGAAACTGGCATGTTATTTAAAACAACTGGTAGTGTTAGGCAGGTTTGGGGAGGTATGTGTGTCTCATTAGGTCTTCATCTGATAATAGAAGACATAAAGAATCCTAGACATATTTCTGTGCTTCAGCAGATGCAGCTGCCTGCTCACAAAATGTTCTCTTGCAAATAAGTTTTTAAAAAAGTTTTTCCATGTTGTACAATGCTATGCTAGGGAGAAATTCCTGTCCTTGTCCTAAACCTGTGGGTTGGCTGAATGGCACAGAATGTATTGCATGGCTAGGAGGCAACTAAACATGCTTGTCTGGATAAGCGGTAGTTCCTGGTTCCATAAAGATAAACCATGGTTAGCTGAAAATGGAAGAAAATGTTTCTAACCTTCTCCACGCAGCTAAATCTAGATGGGGAGCGATGATGTACAAGTTCAAGGCTAACTGGGGTTTGCTGTTATAACTGAATTCACAGGCAACCAACAAAGCACAGTTAGGGTCACTGCTCTGCCTCATGGGGACTGTCCAGCAATGACCAGAACACCAAGTCAGGGGCTACAGTGCTACCAGATAAGGAGCCAGACAAAGTTCCTGGGACTAAGCCAGATGTTGGTGATCAGATCATTAAACCTGGTAAACAGGTGCCCATTGAAAGAGCTCCCCAAAGCATCTGGTCTGAGGAACCAAGTGCCCCCCACAGTATCACACAAGACCAATGGTGCAATATATTTTTGCTGGTTCAAAAACATTCTTATATTAAAAAAACATGCCAAGTGGGAGGCCATGGAAAGCTGGAGAAGTGTCTGTCTTTATGCTCGAGTTGGCCCTTTAAGAGACTCTGTTTTCCACAAGGCGACAATGACCTTTTATCCACACTCTCCGTGTCCAAGCAGATTTTTTCAAGGAAAGCTCTGGGGTGAAAAAAAAGAGTACTTTAGACACAGAGCTTTAAAGCGTGGGCCTGTGCCTGGAAAGCGTGGGGCAAAATTTTAAGTGTTGATAAGCCCTTAGCTAAGATGGAGTGGACTGCTGCTTCCAACCCTTGTTGGAGCGAGTTGATCACTAGGAGCTATCCGTGGTGCTGCAACAACCAACCTGTGTTGCTATCTTTCCCAATGGACACCTCCCAAGTTCTGACCAGATAGAAAATTAAACAGACAAGCACCACTAAACCATGGTTTGCCTATTATATGCCTGGAAGTTGAAACCAAAATGTGGGTTTCCTGCTCCATCTAAGCCAAGTCACAAACACAAATCAGCAATAAATATACAAAAATATATTTAATACACCAGGAAAAACAACAGCACAAGCTGTACCCCTAAAACCCCAAAGGTTTGATGAAATAAAAATTTTAAAAAGTCCACCTAGCCTTTAACAAACAAGGAGAAAGACCTCTTGGAATTCAGGTCCAGGGTCACTACAGAAAAAAGAAAACAAACCTGTTTCTTCTGAAATACAACCTACCATCCAGAATGGACAGAACCTGGATGGCTTCATCTGCAGGTTTCAATTCTCAAGGGAGAAGACACGGAATAAGACACTTCCTGGGATAATCAGAATACTGTGTTTTAGGGCTTTACAGGGCAAAACCGTCACCTTAAATTGGGCTAAGAAACAAATTGGTAGCTGCCTAGTGCCTCATGCCAGCTAAAGTTTCTGAAACATCTTCAAGGGTAATCTAATCAGCAAGTCGGTATAACATGCATGACAAGTGTCCAGATCCACCAACATGTACTCAGACTACATAGAAAGGAGCTGGGCTTAGATTTAGTCTGAGACCATTTCAGCAACTGCTTGCACAGCTGGCAGTACTTGACAAAATCTTTAGGACACATGGCTCACAATGACCATGAGTACTTAAATTCTGAACATGCATTATTAACTAGGCGGATATAAAGTTTCATTTTCTGAATCATGCAATTGATTTTTCATTGCTGATATAACCCCTCATCCCATTTACTGGTACAGCCATCTCACAAAAGCCTGTACCAGTAAAGCCTGAGTTTTACATTAATATTATGCTCTTTCAGATTAGGTAATATATAACCACTGTAGTTCCATTTATTGGATTGAAACTTAATATAATATTTTGTTAGTTTTATCATTTGTGGCTAAAAATGGAGCACAATCCAAGCAACGTTAAGCACAGTTAAATCTTACTGCTTTAAGTGGGAGAAATTTAATCATGGCAGAGCGTTTAACATTCCCACTGCAGCCTGCAAGACTTTTAATGCTGTATCTTGCCCTATTATGATAAACATTCAGTAATACTTTTTGTTTTTTGTTTTTTTTATAAATTTTTTATTGCGTTTCTTTCCATAACTTCAAACAATCCAAACACCACCAATACATTAAATACAAGAAACATTCAGTAATACTTTTTGGATCCTCCTCTGGATTCATCTAAAAAATAATAAATTGTTTTTATGTAAACCACTCAGAGATTTTTTTATATATTAAGTGGTATATTTTTTATACAAATACATTTCAAAACTTGTTAATGCATATTTGGATGAGGACTGGATCATTTCTAAATGAAAAAATATGATAAAATTATGGAAGCCAGATAGTAGTACAGATAGATAGATTTCTGTTCTTTCTCGTCCCTCAACCAAATTAAGATTAAGAAGGGAAAATGAAAACCAAGAGGTCACTTTGCTTGACCAAAGTAATCCAGCAAAGCTGTGGCAACAGCAGGCCAAGTCTCTTATCTCTTAATTTAAGAGTTGTTATGCAAGATCAATGCTTAATTATGACTAGCTACAGCAAATCCATCTTTCAAGTAATGAATAGCTACAAATTTGCCTACATACAGATCACAACTTTCCTTTATTTTCAAATACTAATGATTAACCAAAGCATAACCAAGTATCAAATATTATTCATAACAGCCAATCTTAATCTTATCATGAAGGAGCCATTTTGAAAAACAATTATTTGCATTCATTTTTAATGTAGCAATTCTCAGACTGTTGGCAACAGGTTACAATGGCCAACATTTTACAAATAAATTAAAAAACAGAAATCAAAGCAGTCAGGTTTGGAAGACAAATTAGACAACTTAGAAAAATAACCCCAACTTAGAAAAATATATACAGCAAGACTTTAGCATTATGTTTCCAATGTTTTTGGGTTATGCAGCTGAGTTTTTTCCATCAAGTGTGTATCTGCCTCTTCCGTTTTGCTTCTGGGCTCTTAGAACCCACCAGCCTCGAAGACCCTGGGTAAGCTTTCCCCCTGGTTTTTCCCAACACTGGCCCTGCCTTTTACCTCCCTACCAGAATTCTCTGCTTCTGGATCTACTAACTGGTGTGTCCCTTGTCCTTCAGCTACTTTTCCTCTAATCTTGTTTTCACTATTTTCTCCATACAGCCTTCCTTGCAGATCTGCTTGCCTTTGTCATTTGTGCTAAAATACACAGCTTTTTAAGTACAGTATTGTACAACTTCGCAAGTCTGTATTTCACACAAGTTTCTCCTTCCCTCAACCTTCTACATCCTCCATCTAGTCTACCCTACCTTCTGGGCTCTCTCTAACTTTTTGCCTTCTTCTATCATTGGTTCTCTTCTCATTTTGTTTCCTTCCCACCTTTCACCTTCCCCTCCTAGCACCCATGAGTTGCCAAAAGATCCTGCCTCCATGTAATGGATGTGGTCTTCCTTCCCCCCAATGTAGGCTTTCATTTCCCATATTTTAAGCTCAACTGACAGCACTTGGTTGCTAACAACTTATTGAACAATTCAAAGGTTTATGAAGAGTCCATGACATCACAGCAGCTTACCCAATAGCTAAATGGCACATTTTAGTTGATTAGGAGGATCAAGTTAAAATCAAGTGTGTCTTCTTTGGAACTTTAGGTAAAACACTCAAATTTATATCATAGAAATATCTCTGTCCTGATTTTAGCTTCAAGTAAATTCACGGCACTTCTATTTTAATCAACAGAATAGATGTTTCATTATTCCTTCCAATTTTGATGATATGGAGCTCCTGCCACCCTCCATTTGTTGTATGTAGACACCTACTGTGTAAATGCCACATGTTCTACCAAAAACAATTCTGGGAATTGTAATTTTATGAGCATCTGAGGATTTTGGTTACAGGTCTTTAGGCTTCCACTAACTTCACTGAACTAAAATTCCCAGAATTCTTGGAAATAAGAATGATCAAGTTTATAATGTGGACATGCACTGTCATGCCTTGTTCTATAGAGATGTCATCAGTGTGCTAGAAGGGGAAGAGAAAAACTAGAACTGTGATTCTACATATTCTTATCTAAGAATTAACCCTAATGTAAACAGTGGGATGCTTCTGAGTGAACATGCATAGAATTGGGCTACAAGTGTCACAAACTGGGCAGGGACAGAAACATAGAAGAGGAACTCGCCATGTCCAGTTCAACTACTTTTTCAAAATATATTCCAAAGCAGGGTGAGGCATATGTTAAATTTTCACAAGGCCATGCTAAGAGCATTTTGCGAATTGTATGAAGCATCCATCTGTACCATGAGATGAAAGGGAACTTGGTGACGTGAAGGAAGGTTAAGAATAAGAACATTAGATGAGCCTACTAGGCAAGCCAATGGCTCATCTAGTCCAGCTTTCTGTTCTCAAAATGGCCCATCAGATGCCTGTGGGAAGCCTGTAAATAAGACATGAGTGCAATAGCACTCAGCCCACCTTCCATTCTCAGCAACTGGTATTGATAGGCAAGATGCCTCTGACAGAGGATGCAGAACATAGCCATCATGGCTAGTAGCCGTTGACACCTACTAGAACTACAACAATGTTAATTGATATGAAGCTAGATGAAGATGCAAACAGTTCTAAGAACTAGGCAGATGCTACGCATCGTGAAATGAGTAGAGAACACATAAAGATGGATATTTATATCTTATCATGGTGTGTTATAGAGCCTTAAGTAACCAGCAGTTCAGGACTTCTTATGGAACTCCAGTAAGGCACAGAATGTATGTAACAGTGGTTTAACATGTTGTAGAATGGACATATAGGCTCATGAGAGAACTCAACTGAATGAACCAGATTATTGGGTAGTTCTCCCATTGCACTAACAGCACGGCAGTTGCCACTTATCAGTGCCCACATTTTAGTTCACATATTGGTTTGTGGTAGGGATAACTATTATCTCCGGAGAAACCACATTGTTTCTTTCTGGTGCTCACAATATTTTGCTTATGAATGTTTGTGATAACGTTAGTGGTGTCAATGTCTGAAAGTCTTATACCCAAATGGCGGTGACCATTCAGCGGCAAGGAAGATGCCATACGAGAAAGACAAGAGATAAGTAACAATTACCAATTGCTGTCTACTCTCAGACATAAAGATCAATGTGAACAAAAACACTTAGCAAGACAGGATGATTACCATAAAATACCCGCATGTTTAGGTGTTTACTTCAACATTTTCCTTCTCTCTTCCCAGTACAATATTGATGAGTAGTAATAGTTCTGTCTGGAGCATGGCTCATCTATATGTCATTTACCTGTTAGCGACAGCATAAGAAGGCATACTCTATATTCTCTATATTTCAAAAGCCCACTTAGTAGAAAATTACTAATCACTTTCACCAACTTTTTTATCCAAACTAAAACAATCACATTCAGGTTGGATTTATTTAGAAAAATCATATTTGCATTTACTCACCAATTCTCACACATGGATGAGAACCAGCACACAGCATAAATGCATTTATTGAAATAACTGAGACCTTTATCCTAGTTGGTACCTGTATTGAATTGATTTTATGTATGTTCTGTTGTTGTTTTAAAATGTACGTGTGTATGTATGTATGTGTGATTTCATACATGCAATTGTTTAACTTTTTATATATGTATCTGTTTCACATATATTTCCATTATGTTGTAAATTGCTTTGCGAAGCAATTCATACATTAAATAAATTGTCTTCCTCATCATCTTGGCAGTGAAGTCAAGCATGATTTAAATTGTGTTGGGAACAAAACTGTTATTATTCTGAAAACTGGTCTTTAGAATGCTTAAATAGTGGTAAAGAGGATGGCATGCTAATTTTAGTCTTCACAGGTAACCAGAACAGATCAATACAAAATTAAGACTGTGGTAACTATAGACACTATATTTCTGTTCTGAAATGCAATTATTTGACATAGTTTTTTAAAACCTTCAATTGTGTGATATAGTTCTTATTTTGACATATTATTTTAGCCCTACATTATCACTTCTGTTTGGGAGAGATGAAGCCAGGTCAAAATACTTGTCCAACTAGCCCAATATTGTCTACTTTGGCAGGCAACAGCTTTCCAGAATCTCAAGCAGAAGTCTTTCCCATCACCTGCTACCTCTTTTTAAAACTTGAGACGCCAGAGATTGAATCTGGGACTTTCCACATGAAAAGCATGTGCACTACCACTGAGCTATGGTCCTCTGTGAAAATAGTTTTCTTGCATTTCACATGTGCATGTAATTTCATTTTTAGTAACATATGAGTTATATGACATTCGAAGACCATGTAACTGTGTGCGCGCGCATATGTTCGACCTCTGGCTGAGTTCTATTACCTGAGCTTCGGAAACATCTGAGTAACAATGACAACAGTTATTCTAGAGTAACTGCTCTATGGCAGCCTTAGAGCAATCTCACATGCGGCATGTGTAAAAGCACCTTTGAGCCTATATTTTGCTATTTGTCTAAATGCATCCATGTTTCTAAGGTGGATGCAAAACAGAAAACTTTTTCAACCTGAATGCACATTCTTGCCAAAGTACACTTTACATCTGCATCACACGTGCAAGAAACAAAAAAACCCCAACTCAAGACTTAGATATGAAAATTATTTTTAGAGCATATGCCAGAAACAACGAATAACTGAGTACTGTCAGCAGTAGAGCTTAAATTTGAAATGGTAGGTGTACACTTCACATTATGCCTTCCTTGAGCCAGTTCAGGCATTATAGAGGCCAGCTAACCAGTTAGTAACTGCCCAGAGAAATAAGTCCAGCCATGTGAACAAGGTACCATCTAGCAAAGGCAGATCACAGTGGCTGCTTATATTATCCCTCCCCCTCCAATTTATGGAAGTAACTGCTATGACCACCTGCGCCATTTTCAGATGGGAATGCCAAAGAAAGGGAAAAAAGCCTGTTGAACAGTAACATTTTGACAACCCATCCCATAAACCTTTGGCCTATTGTGGCTATTTTATAGTGAGGCACAGGGACCCATGTGCATGTTAAACGCCTCTCTCTCTCTGTTATTCCCAAGTTATTTATTTATATTTATATCCCACTTTTCCTCCCACCACGGAACTTTCCATGCTACCTCCTATCGAGGACACCCTTTTAGCTTCCAAGCAAGGTTGGCTGCTGCCTCGTTTACCTTCACACCATGCCCTGCTGGGCTTGAAATTGAGGTCCCGGCATTCTGACACGCACAGACACACACATATATAGATATATATATACCATTTTTTAAAATAAAATAAAATAAAAAAACCTGAGGTGGACAAAACGAATAGCGCCGCGTGCCCAGCAAAGCGAAAAGTGGCGACTGCAGAGGCGGCCGGTGGGGAGGGGAAGGGAAAAAGCTCCACGTGCCCCTGAGCGAGCGAAGAAGAGGATCCTCTGAGGGAAGCGCCTCGTCAGCCAATAGAAAGAGAGAACGGCCCGGGGGAGGGCGGGGCCGCTGGGTGCCTCTGGGATGGAGGTCGCCCCCAACCGACCAGGCGGCCTCTGCCTGCGTGTCTGTGTGAGGTCGGGAACGCGGGGCGCGCGGGGAGAGGGCTGCGTGTGGGGGGTCGCCAGGGGGCGGGGCCTGCGGCTACACCGCCGCGCCGCCTGCCTGCCTGCCAGCCTGAGGCGAGGGAGCCCGCAAGCCCCGGAGAAGACTGGCTGCAAGGGAGGTGCGCGAGAAGCCGCTACCGGAGGCTGCAAACGGGCCGGTTGGCAGTGGAAAGTTACCGGTCTCGTATAAGAAACGCACATCCTGGTGCGGGTCGGGGGGGGACGACGGGTTGTTACTTTCCTCCCTCCGAGCTCCTTTTCGAGCTCGGTTAACATCGCAACTTGCCCCCCTCCCAAGTCACATGAAGAATGCATGCGCGAGCCTGGTGCCCTGCGTGCTCGCCCGGCCGCCTTGCAACTGCACGGCAAAGGCAGGCGAGCCCCTCTTCCCTAAACATTTCGCGCTGCAACGCCCCCCCCCCACTAACTGGGGGAATCGGGAGGGGTGGGGGTGGCCGAGTATGCGTGGTAAGCGATTTCCACAAGAACAACGCCTCCCCGGGCAGGCGGGCGGGCAGCCCCCACCCCCAAAATACTCAGACCAGGATCAAGACTCTCCAGAATGCCCGCATGAGTCCTCATTCACCCACCCACATCCATGCATGCGCGCACACACACCCGCCCTTCGTGGCATTTCATAGAAAACGTGCTCGAGGACCACCCCAAAGCAGCTCCCTTATACAGCATGCACGCAATGGGAGAAAGGCAGAATAAGTTTTTCCCCCCTCTCCGGGATGGGTGGGTGGGCTCGATCCGGCACAATCTGCAAATTAATAAGGAATGTCTGAAAGGCGGAGAGCGAGATCTTGGGGCGGGGGGGGGGAGAGGAAAAGATTCCTGTTCCCACCCACTTTTCTCTCCACCCCCCACCCCCAAATAGAAAATTAGTGGAGCATTAAGTTACAGGGTCTACACAGGAGAGCACATGGGCACTTTCCAAAGTACCTGATATTGCTCTGGAACTGCCTCGGTCTTCAGAGGAAAACTCCCACCTAAAGTGATCTCCAGGAGAGCTGGGCTTTAAAAAAAAAAAAAAGGAAAAAGGATGAAAGAATGAAAAAGAAAAGAAAACAAGAAAAGATGGGGGAGAGGTTTCCCTCCCCCTCGTTTTTCCTTAAATAATCAGCATCTCATAAATGATGGGTCCAAGCAGCGGCACCGAACCGGATTCGAAGCGTTCACATGGTGATGGTGGCTGAGGTTGCAGGCTCAGGTCTCAGCAGGCACCGTGGCGGGGCCACACAGGTAGTCGCAGCGTCTCCTCTGGGGCTCTGCCTCTGCCCTGAGTTCGCATCTTCCTGCAAGCGGTAGGGCAGGCTGCACCTTAATGCACAGAGGACCTCGCCTCCTCCCCCCTCCCTTGGGGGGGGGAGAAGAAGGAGAGAGAGGCTTGTGCTAACTATTCTGGGGCTGATCAAAGCCTTGCAGCGATCAGTCTCCCGAGAGTGCGGGGCTCTTACACCAGCTCTCCACGCTGCCTGCCTGCTGCCACTCTTTTCCTGCCGCCGCTTCTCTTCTCTCTCTCTCTCTCTCTCTCTCTCTCTCTCTCTCTCTCTCTCTCCTGTGCTCAGTCTGTGCTCAGTCTGGGAGTAGCAGCAGCAGGAGTAGAAGAGTTTCCCCCCACCTCGCCTCCACTTTTTTTCCCCCTCCGTTTCCCACGCTGGCTGAATGTGACTTGACCCCGTTTCAAAAAAGTTTGACATAGTGCTTCAACATTTCCGCATTCCTCCCCGACTACAAAGGCAGCGGCCGCCTCCTTCTGCTTTCTGTCTCTGCTCTCTGTCTTCACACTCAATGAAATCCTTCATGTGCTCGCTGCCAAAAGCAGTCACATACCGCAAGGGTCGCAGCAGCCAGCGCAACGGCCAGGAGCAGGCGCCCCGGGGCAGGGGCAGCCCGGGGGGAAGAGGAGGCAGGCAGCCCTCCGCCGCGGGGAGGAGCGCGGGCGGAGGTAGCCCGACACGCTTGCGCTGCTCGCTGTGCTCGGGGCTGCGCAAATGCAAAAAAAACCCACGTTATTTATTGTCATTATTATTCCCTGGTGCTCGGCGCTGTACAGGCGCGATCATGCGATTACTGCTATATTATTAGTAATATTACTACCGAGTGTTCACTGCTGTACAACTGACAGAATTATTATTATTGTTATTATTATTATTATTATTACTACTACTATTACTTTTATATTACATTATTTATTATTATTATTACTATTATTATTTCAAAGTACCTTGTACAGCACAAATATTATTGTTGCTGCTTCAATGCAAATACAGTATTGCTGCTTTTAGTATTATTAGTCCCCAGTGCTCAGGGCTGTACAAATGCAAACTTTATTATTATTATCGTCATTGCTTGTGGGAGCTTGGTGCTGCACAAATGTGAAAATATTACTATTCATTTATTATAATTGCTACCAAGTGCTCAGCGCTGTACAGTTATTATGATTACTGCTCCGGAGTGCTCCATATGGTACAAATGCATAAAAAATAAAAAGATTGTTGTTGCTATCATGGTTAGCATATATTATAATCATCACTGGTATTAATTTGGTACCTTTTGTATTAATTTGATGGTCATAGCTGCTGTGAAAATAGTTTGCTATTATGAAGCAGGGACTTTCAGGCTCAACTCACATCTCACCTCAGATATTAACTCATTAGGTGCCCCAGATTCTACCAATCTGCAATATGGGGATAATTAATATTGACCTATGTATGGCTGCTGTAAGGATTTCTGAAATAATGTATGTGGAAACTCTATGAATGCATTTCATTTTTTTCTTTATTGCGGATGCACATAATCCACCCCATAAATCAGCCTCCAGTGTATTCTAATGATATTGATAGTAACCACAACAATTACCATTCTGGGGGACATAGAAAGACAGAACAATACCATTATATACACTTATTTGGAAGTAAGCCCTAATGCCCTCAGTAGCACTTTCTTCTGAGTAAACATGCATAGGCTCATGCTGTATAGTTGCAATCCTGTAGACTTACTTAAGAGTAAATCCCAATGAGCTCCATGAGGCATATTTTCAAATAAACATGCAGAAAATTGGAAAACATAATATTATGTGGATACAATTTGGAAAATATTTTATTCCCAGGTGAATAATGGAACAGGTAGGTAGTCTTTATATTCCTATTCTGAGGAATAGGAACTCTTTCATGGCCAGCTGGTTCATGCAAGGGGAAAGGAAAGAAATTTGTTTCTTGAAGTGCCAATTTGCAAGCAAATTTTGCCTGCTGTTTTTCACCATGTAATAATAAGAATAAAAAAAGAATAAACATGGATTTCTGTATTTAAATGGGCTCTGAACTGCTGATACAAACATTTCTGATTCTCCCAAAATAATTTTTGGAACCAAGAAATTAATGTAACTTATTTGGAGAGCTGCAAAAACAGAGATAAAGTTCCATGCAGGAAAACAGCACTTAAAACGTGTGACATTGCACAATGAGTTTTGGTGCTGCAACATGAGAACAAATAGAGCCATGTGCACTTTTTCATGTTACAATATATACATAAAGTATTTCCCCATGTAGGAAAACTGTCCTGTGGCTGTAGAATGCCACAGATGTTATTCGCTGCAGAGGCTAGAAGACATAATGCATGTCCTACAATTATGTCAAAAAAATAATAATGTGCTAAAGTTTTTGTATCATTTTTGAAGCATTGTGGGAGATATGTTGGTGGTGGTAGAACCCGAAGGGCCATCATCCAGAGCCAAGTACAAAATAGTAGCTAAGACAAGGATGAGGAAACTCTGGCCACCATAAGCTGTTGGACTCCAATTGCCAATGGGGCAATCCAGTCAGATTGGCAGCATATAAATACTATTATTATTATTATTGTTATGGCTGGTGAGAGGTTGAGTCCAACAACATCTGAATGACATCACATTCTCTAACCCTAATTATACTGTGCCAAGTTCTTAAAACCAGAAATAAACATTTTGAATGACAGAGGTGGTGATATTATATTAAATTTGTTAATATACAGAAAAAACCAAAACTGAATATAGAATAATAATCCAAGCTCTCCAACAGTTACACATTAAAATCTACTTCAGTAGTTTTATTTGAACAAAAAAACCCCAACCTCATAAAAAATAGACTGATGCTCTTGCAAAATTATGCTGCTTGTTAAGGCATAAAGTGAGCTTTGGCTGTGTAACGACAATGATCCACTGATGCCCCAAAGATTTGTGAAACTACAGTTCTGACCCTTGAGAACCACCATGGTTGAGTGGTAGAGAATATACTACATATGTGGAAGGTCCCAAATTCAACCCTTGGTATCTCTAGTTAGAAGGACCAAGTGGTTTTATTTACTTATTTTTGCTTTTATATTTCACATTTCCTCCAAGGTGTTCAAGATGGCATACATGGCAGCTTCCCCTCTCCATGCAGACAATACTTGACTGATGGATTTGGTATAAGGCAGCTACCTAGGTTCCTAACTCAGTAAATGATGTTTGCAATTCATTTATGGAAAATCACCTTGAGGAGGCAATTAACTGGATAACAGACATGCCAACTATAACCTTCAGTTGTTGCTTAGAAGCTCCCAGAGGCATCTTTGGCTAGTGGTAGAGGAAACAAGAGGCTGGAATCCACCTCTGTGCGAAAGCAGAAAGCACTTCCATACATGCACAGGGATATTTCCCTTGACATGTTCCATTGGGTGATGCTCTGGGGAAAGCCCAGCTTTGGGTGGGTGTGGGTGTGTGGGTGTGGGTGTGTTCACATTGCTGCAGCTGGGAGGGAGAGGTTCCTGCGCACAACCACGACACTGGAATGCTTTGAAATTATAGACTAGATGGATATTTTAAATACTAAACAAGATAGAGTAGAATGGATCCAGCATGACCGTTTTCATGTTCTTACAAGGTCTAGGGGCATCATTTGGGGGAGGGGGCCATAGCTCATTGGTAGAGCATCTGCTTTGCTACAGAAGATCCCTGTTTCAATCCCTCTGCATCACTGGGAAGGGTTGGGTAAGACTCCTGTTTGAAATCCTGAAAGTTTATTGCCAATCATTGCAAACAGTACTGAGCTTCATAAACCAGTGGTTTAACTCAGTATAGTAGTAGCTTCCTTAGTTAATCCCCACACTGTTGCATAACACAACCATAGGTGCATAACACATTCCTTGCATAAACATGATTTCCAGTCCTATATGCACCAGACAGATATTTTTAAAAATTCATTTTCACTTCAGTGTTCTATGTAAGCCTCACAGCTCAACGCTACACTTCACTGGGGAGCAAGGAATCTTCTGCCATGTGTCTCTTTTCTTATAGCCTTCCATGTCCCACAATCAACCTCCACCCCACTTGTCAGTTTAATAGTTGTCTATAAGGGTAATTTATTGGATACTCTTAAATTTATTTATTTTTAAATAGGGTGTTACTGTATTCTAACTATAAACTGTTTTGTAGCATTATGCTTCTAAATTAAACCAGCATGTCAACAGCAGGCAGTGCTCTCGGAAGTCCCCGTGACTTAAATCCTATTTAATAATAGTAGTTAAGAATCTTTTGGCCAAGTTGCCAAACAAAAAGAGGTTCATTGTGAGCACAGGAAGGTGTGTTTTCCACATGTAAAGCCTTCCATCTGCATTCCAGCGAGTATACTGTCATCCTGTATGTGGCAATAGACATCTAACTCCCATTAACACCAGCCGACTTTCCCTTGCATGGAGATAATAATACATCCCTTAAGGCTTTTCTTTAATACCTTTTAATCCATCTGGTAAATGCAATGCAGATATGTGAAAACTGAATCTATGGAAAAAGAACTGAGGATGCAGAAATTGTAAAGGCATTCCGAGTACAAAAATAAATTGCATATTATATATAAAGGTAAAGGGACCCCTGACCATTAGGTCCAGTCGTGACCGACTCTGGGGTTGCGGCGCTCATTTCGCTTTATTGGCCAAGGGAGCCAGCGTACAGCTTCCGGGTCATGTGGCCAGCATGACTAAACCACTTCTGGCGAACCAGAGCAGCGCACGGAAACACTGTTTACCTTCC